GTCTCCCATTAACACCGTATAGTGGGTTTTGGAGGAATGCATGGCTCTAGAGATATCCTCATACATTTGCTCCACCTCCTCATCGGGGTGTGCCGAGGTTGGTGCGTAAACCTGTATGACCTTCAGCGAATACCGTTTGGTGATTCTGAGTATAAGGTATTCAACCCTCGTCAACACACTCCCGATCTTTATAACGTTGTTAACGAGAGACTTGTGGACGATAAATTCGAAACTTCCTTGGGACAGATGGTCGCCCCCCCGGTAATAGAACAAGTTGCCGGATTCGAGGATTACCGTCTACTCCCCCTCTCTTCGGACCTCGGATAATCCTATGATATTCCAGTGCAATTTGTCTATCTCTTCTTCCAGCTCCAGGACCTTCTCGTCAGTCCTTAGGGTGCGTGCGTTGTATGTTGCCAGGTCGAGTAGTCGTAGGTGGCAACTGAACCTCCACCGGAGATTCTTAGCACCCCCTGCCCCGCTGTTACCGTGGTCGCCACCGTAGCCAGGAATAGCGGGACCGCCGGGGACTGGGGGCCGTCTCTTCGTAACTGTCATCATGGCGGGTATATGTATCGCGAAACGAAACGTGGTAACTATGCCATAGTTGCCACGTTTCGCGAACAACTTGACAACCGCAGTTTTTTATTGTTATTTTGCTGTTATCAGAAAGATGGTGCTGCCCACCTTCTGCCTTAGTTTCCCTCTGTCGCCTCTTACGACATCCACGGGAAGATATGGGGTAGTGGTACCCGCCACTACACGGGGTCATTTCCGAGACACCTGAGATTTTGAGTGAGATTGAGAGACTCTACAGACAGCTGTACACATCATCGTTGGAGCCACATGCAAGTGTGAGTAACGATCCAAGAGCAAGTCTTATCCGACATTATTCCGATGATATTCTGGACGTTAGTCTGAACGAGATTAGAATGGCTCTCCAGCAGCTGAGGAACAGCAAGGCCCAAGGCGAGAATGGAATTATAGCGGAGTTTCTGAAAGCGGGTGGTACTTAGTCCTTCAGAAGCTGTTTAATTCCGACTTCAATGTAGCACTACACCGGAGGCGTGGAGCAGAAGTGCGGTGGTCTTGTACTTCAATAAAGGTGACAATCCTCTCTTGAAGAACTAAAGGCCGATTTCCCATCTGAGCCGCGTCTATGTGCTGTTTTCGAGAGTCATTACGAGTCGTCTCGCAAGCAGACTAGACGACTTTCAGCCTCCCGAACAACGCGGTTTCAGAATAGGCTTTAACACCATAGAACACATATATACCCTTTGGCAAATTGTACAGAAGTCCGAGGAGTAAAATTTGCCACTATGTCTGGCGACTATTAGAAAGCCTTTGATTCCGTCGAAATTTGGGTGGTGCTGCAGTACCTTACGCGGTGCGAAGTGGACTGTCGGTATATCGAAGTACTGAAGTGTTTGTATAGTAGGGCTACGATGGCTATCGGAGTACAGATCCAGAAGACGAAACCTATCCAACTGTCGAGAGGTGTAAGAAAGGGTGACGTTATTTCCCCGAAACTCTTCACCGCTGCATTGGAAGACGTTTTCAAGCTATTGGACTGGAAAGCATACGGTATTAACGTCAATGGCGAGTACATCACTCACCTTCGATTTGCCGACGACATGGTCCTTCATTGCTGGCTATATGACGAAGCTCAAGGTCGCTCAGCAAGCTATGAAGAGGGTTATGCTCGTGTTTCCTTCTTGTGACAACGAATCAAAGTGACCGACATAGCCCAACGGATTAGTAAGCTGAAGTGGCAATGAGCCGGCCATATAACTCGAAGAACCGACAACCGATGGGGAAAAGGATTTTCAAGTGGCAGCCTCATACATTCAGGCGAAATGTAGGGCGACCCCCCACTAGATGGAGTGACAAACAGGTAAGACATGCAGGAAGTCGATGGATGCAGGTGGCTCAGGACCGTGCTTTGTGGCATTCCTTGGGGGAGGCCTATGTCCAGCAGTGGTCTTGTGAAGATCTGTAATGATGACGATGACCGTGATAAAATTCGGTCTTGATGACATTATTATAAACCTGAACTAATCCTATAAGCAGCACCTGTTCACAAATATGACGCAAGTGGCAGCAAGGCGTTTATTACTTATTTTCTTCCCCTTCTCATCCTTTCCATAAAACGCTTATTACTCCATTCAACTTATACGGAACATAAACAACATCATAAGCTAGTTTTCAAAATTCAAACAAACAATACCGACCTTTGAAGTTGCCGCAATATCCCATTTTGTAACTTTACATTTCTCAATCGAAAACCCTCTGAAAGTGGACGTTAAACAAATACCCTCCGGTAGTTCGAACGTGTATTGACACAGATTAATAAAGATCGAGTCTGTTTGATGATTTAAATTAAAGCCTTTGTTTCTTAATAATGATTTGTAATTATTTGTTTTAGAAGGGATGCTGCAGCTATATTACGGTTGTACGAGTAACTATTGGACCGGGAAAGGACCACATTTACAGAATACCAGCGTGAAATAGAAGTTTAATGGTGCTGTTTTTGTATGGTGCATCTAGAGAACCCGAGACCCTTGTTACACGAAAAGAGGTATTCTATCTTAATCCTCGGGGTGAGAACGCATCTGAATTTTGATTCTGAATCGAGAATAAATATAGGTGTCTATGGGTCACAACATACACTTACCATCAGGTGGACTGTAGTCTTGCTTGTCCCCCCACTTATATAATAAATGTCACGCTTTATTAGATAATATAGATACCAGCTGATTAGTGACCGCCAATACGGTTTTCATCGTTGTCGATCAGCTGGTGATCTTCCTGTCTACCTGACTAATAGATGGGTTGAAGTAGTAGAGTCCAAGGGCACGCATTGACCGTTAGTTTGGACATTGCGAAGGCCTTCGATCGGGTTTATCACAAAGCGCTTCTTTCGAGCTCCCTTCCTATGGGCTACCCGAGAAATTGTGCAATTGGATCACCAGGTTTCTTGCAGATCGGAACATTAAGGGCATTGTAGAAGGTGCATCCTCCGATTACAAGTCTATTAATGCTGGTGTTCCACAAGGCTGCGTGCTGTCACCAACGCTGTTTCTTCTGCATATCAATGATATGCTGTTGCAAACCGGTAACATTCATTGCTATGCGGATGTCAGCACTGGTGATGCTCTATACACCGGCCGTGCCAATATTTATCGGGAAAAAAACGTCGCCAAGTACCGGAACAAAATTGTGTCTGAAGTCAAGTCTTTGCTGAACAAAGTCTCGGATTGGGGCGACTAAATCTAGTTCAGTTCAATCCCCAGAAGACACAAGTTTGCGCGTTTACCGCTAAAAGGAACACCTTTGTTGTGTCTCCTCAGTTTCAAGGCACTTCCTTTGTTGCCTCAGCCAGTATCGGAATCCTCGGCAGCGACATATCGAGTGACGTGCAGTTTCGTGGTCACTTGGAAGAGAAGGCCAAATTGGCCTCTAAAAACCTTGGTGTACTCAGCAGAGCAGGACAGAATTTCATGCCGGCACAACGCCTGCAACTTTACAAGGCACAGGTTCAATCTCACATTTTTCCGGACTGATACTTTTTAATTTTTTTTTCGATTGCAGGTGTGTTCTCGGCCTTTAAAATTTCCTTTCTAAAAGGCCGACAACGCACCTGCAATTCCCCTGGTGTTGCAGTTGTTCATGGGCGGCGGTAGTCACTTACCATCAGGTGGGCTATATGCTCGTTTGCCCCTTTTCTATAAAAAATGTAAGGGTTGTTATCCTATACTGCTATTATAGCTTCATCTGACACATGGCTATTTAAAAAAGGGATAAGCAGTGATGATGAGGATGATGATGATGATGGTTTATGATTTGGTATTGTTAACAATCATCATGTCCCCCGTGGGGTGTTTTGAGCTATCTAACAGCTGTACTAGTGGGGGAGTACAGACTACCCCATGTAGTTCTGTGGGTGTCGTAAGAGTCTACCGAGGGAAACTAAAACAGGAGCAGCAGCATCTTCCTGATAACAGCTGAAGAAAAATAAAAACCTGCGGTAGCCAACCCGCTTGCCAAGAGTGGCAACTATGGCAAATTCCGCCCAATCTATGGGGGAGGCGTATGTTTAACAGTGGACTTTCATAGGCTGTGATAAAATAGTTAGGCTGGCTTTGTTCATGGGAGTAATAACGACTCTTTTGATATTTCGAACTGGCTGCAAATGTGAATGAATAGCAAAAGAAAATAAAAATAAAAAAAATACAGAGAGACTGGAAGATAGTTCCTCACTCTAGTGTTTTAAAAAAGAAACGTTAAATGAGTTTCTTTTTTTAAGTACCGTCGATCCTTTGAACTATCTGCGAGCTAATTTTCTTATTAGGTGAAGCGTGACTGCCCGAGGGACCATTTTAAAGTTGGAATCAAAAGAACTGAATTCCACACCGTCGCACTTTATATATATCTGGGGTACTTTCGCGCGACTTCCACAGATAAATCCATTTTGAATAGCTCCTTCGAAAACTTTATCTCTCTATTTTTGCCGAATAATAATTAAAAGGAAGATTTTGGCTTTTAATAAGTTAGGCCGACTTCAATTAATAAAACTAGTTTTAAGTATTTCATCGCGTTTAATTAGATTTATTTTTATTTCTCGACGTTTCTATTGACGTCGTGTATTTTAAAAAAAACCACTTCACAATGCAACTGTGAGCGCAGGCCTCCTCTCATTTCTGAGAGGGTTTTAGGTTATGGAACTGTCCGCTGCGCTGCCCCAATGCATGTTGGCGAAATGCACATGTTTTCGAAATATTTTTTTCTAATTTCTCAGAGATGCTGGTTACTTCACGATATTTTCTTTCACATGGGCCGGGCACATGGTAAATCAGCACTTAAAATTTGCAATTAACATTTCATTGGTGCCAGCGGGGTTGAACCCGGGTTGATCACGTACTGTGAAATTTTCAGTGAGCGCCTAGACTCTGAGTTATGAGAATCACGTCACGAATTTGAAAAGCGTACGTATAACTTACTGCGATTATTCTGTGCGTGTCCAGCGACGAAGATCGCGGCGAGCACTAGCCAGCCCCACTCCATCTTCCCTCAGCTGTCTTCACTCGTCACGGTGTGCGACATCTAAAAAAAAAGAAAGAGATGGTTAAATCGTGTAAAGTTCTTATAAAAACAAAAATTACAGCCCTATTTCACACATGGTAGAGCCATGCTTCTATAATATTGTGGTTGTTCTACAAATGGGTCGGCTCTACCGGAGTAGGACCATGCTCTAGCAGAATACAAGTGTAAAATAGCAGCTTAAGGCCACTGTGTTTCATATGGTGAGTGTAGAGAATAGAAAATCCTTTTTAGTGGATACGAGGCATTTCTTCTTAGTCCTCATGGGTGACAACGCTTTTGCATTTTGATTCTTGATCGAAGATCGAAGTACATAGGCTGCACTAAAAGTATCGGGAATGGAATATTTCCGCTGTTCCCGTCATATTAAAATATTTTTAATTGAAAAGTCCTTGGTTTTAAAAATCGAATACCATTTATTTATTTAAAAAAAGATTCTCGGTCTTGTCACAAGGTTTTTTCAAACTTGTTTAGTCGTTGAGAAAATGTAATTGACTCGAGAAAATTCAAAAGCGATGATGTATTATGACTTTCGAAGTGGTTTAACACAAAAACAGTGTGTTGACCGGATGATTTCTGCATTTGGTGATGAAGCCCCATCCAAAACCACAATTTATCGCTGGTTTGCTGAATTTCAACGTGGACGTGTCAAGCTCAGTGATGATCCGCGTCAAGGTCGTTCAAAAACTGCAGTCACCCAAGAAAACGTTGATGCTGTGCGTAAGCTGATTGAGGAAGATCGACATGTGACATACCGCGAAATTCAGGCAACTTTAGACATTGGCATGAGTCAAATACAAATAATCTTGCATGAACAATTAGATGTAAAAAAGTTGTTTTCCCGATGGATACCGCATTCACTCTTTGAAGAGCAAAAAGCGGCTCGCGTTACTTGGTGCGTCAGAACTCTCGAAAGATTCCATGCAGGATCCTCAAATGCTGTATACAACATCGTATCAGGTGACGAATCCTGGATATACGCGTACGAACCCGAAACAAAAAACCAGTCACGAGTTTGGGTGTTCGAAAATGAGTTACAGCTAATGTTTATGCACAAATTTGGTCACGTTTAACGCCACCCAATTGCGTTCGAGCTGGCGCCTCACCCGATGGTATGCCGGTGAGAGAGACGCCGAGGTGGGGAGTCAGTCGTTCGACGCGTGGGTAGTCTGTCGCTCGACGCGTGGGCAGTCGGTCGCTCGACGCGTGGGCAAAACGTCGGTGCCCCGCCAGCCACGAGGCGGGGAGACCGTCAGGCTCAAAATTCACGGCCCGTCGTGGATCTAGATATCTAGATGAAGTACGTGCTTCTTCGTCACGTAGATATATGAATTGTGCGATATTTAACTCGGGCGAGAGTGCGGAATAGTGTACGCGCATCTAGTAGATATACGGTCTAGGATTCGAGCTGCGCATTCCTTGTTTGAGAGCTTCTCCCGGTTAATTGTCAAGATATCATTATAATTGTGTCGTCGCGTTTAGTGCCCCTTTTGTGTTTTGGTTGGCTAGTTAGATTAATTTGCGTGTCAACGAGGCGTATTTTGAATCTTGCGCGACGTGTTGTTCTGGTGTCGAATGAAGGAACTTAGTTGTGTTTAACGCTGAATCTGTCGGGTATCACGTGTTCGATTCTACGATGAATGTGGAATTAGGCGAATTTAAGTTAGTTAAATGTACAATGAAACTAAGAGACTGAATTAGTGACAATGAAGAAAGAAATGGTCCAGCGATCGAGCCTGCTGGAGCGATGCAGCATTTTGGGGCAGCCTGGAACTCGGCCGCTGCTGGTTGCCTAAGCTTGCTCAGGTCGCAGACATTTATACCTCACTGTACACTACTCGCAATCCACTATTACACACACTCACGGCCTGCCCAAGCCTTGGTGCGAAGTTAGCTTCGGATAATGGTAAGTACTATGTATTTCTAGCTTTCTCCCATATAGTTTATTGTGATAAAACATATTCCACGCGGCCATATTGAGGGCCGACCTGCGTCTGCTCGTGAAGTCTCCATTGATGGGCCCCGGATGATTGAACATTTGGAGGAGCAGCCGTAGGCCGTAACAGCCAACAAAAATTGTTCGTTCACGGGGTGTTGCAAAAAAAAAGGTGGAAACGTTTGTCTCCAAAACCGGCCATGTTACGACTATTCCTCTTGAGGGACAAAGAACGGTTAATGCAGAATGGTATGCTAGCATTTGTTTGCCACAGGTCGTTTCTGAACTCCGTAAAGAGAACTGCAACCGCCGCATCATCCTTCATCACGACAATGCGAGTTCTCACACCGCACACAGAAAAAAAGAGTTTTTAGAGCAAGAAAATATAGAATTATTAGACCATCCGCCGTACAGCCCCGACCTAAGCCCTAATGATTTCTATACTTTCCCTAAAATAAAGAATAAATTGCGTGGACAGAGATTTTCATCACCTGAAGAAGCTGTGGACGCCTACAAAACGGCCATTTTGGAGACCCCAACTTCCGAATGGAATGGTTGCTTCAATGATTGGTTCCATCGTATGGAAAAATGTGTCAAATTTCGCGGAGAATACTTCGAAAAGCAATAAATACATTTTTAAATAGTAATGTTGTGTCACTTCCTTGATTCCCGAAATTTTCAGTGCCACTCGTAGATGTGTTATTTTAGCTACAAACGGAGCAAATAACATTGTTTACAAAGAAATTTTGACTTTTTGATGTTTTTTTCCTTCGCACATACCAAAACTTTGTTAATATATCAAGCAACGCGGACGAAGAATCGCGGATATCAGGTAGTAACTCATAAATTATTTTAATTTATAGATAAATAAAATATTAAACAAGATGGAAACAAGTAGCAAACATTTTATATTAAAACGTTTTAATAACTCCTTTGCATAATACACCAGGTGGTATTGCAAAGTTGCTTTCAACTCGCGCAGCCCGGGATAAAATGTGGAGTGATTCATGATTTTAGTTGAAGCTTAAACGTGAAGGCGGAGGGAGAGGAGAAAGGGATAAGGCGCACTCACCTCCTCCGTATTCTCGCTAACATGTTGTTTCAAAATGCAAAATGTAGGAATGTTCAATGCCATCTATACGAGCCGTGCTAACCGTGTAATGGCAACTAAGAAGATTTTTTTTACTACCCCCAATAAAATCTTAAGAGCGTTAGTAGCTTAAGGGCTAAGCGCTCGCTATAAGTTATACTACGCGAGCAACCCGGGTTCGATTCCCGCCGGCACCAATGAAATTGTTTATTGCAATTTCGTATTCGGCGGTTAAGAAAAATAAATATTTAGAAGACATGTGAAATTCGCCAACACGCATTGGGGCAGCGCGGCGGACATTTCCTTGCACTAAAATCCTCATAGAAATGAGAGGAGGCCTGTGCCCAGCCGTGGGACGTGTATAGGCTGTAACTTTGATTTCAATAGTGAAACATAACATATAAACACTCACGCCTGTCACCCAGAGGGGTAGGCAGAGATTATGGACTTCCATTTGGTACGATCCTGACACACCTCTCTCGCTTCCTCCACATCCATATACCTACGCATACACGCTCGTCGGTTAAAGGTACTCTTGATTTGGCCCATTTTTAATATATCGCCAATTTGGTCGATAAACTTAGTGAAACATAATTTGGGTGAAATAGATTGGCTTGGAGTAACTGACATAGCCCAACGGATTAGTACGCTTAAGCGGCATTATGCCGGCCATATAGCTCGAAGAACCGACAACCGATGTGGAAGAAAGGTTCTCGAGTGGCGGCCTCGTACCGGTAGGCGAAGTGTAGGGCAGCCTGTAACCTGATGGAGTGACGGAGGGAATTGCAGGTGTGTTGCCGGCCTTTTAGAAAGGAGTAAGCTCTTTTCTTGAAGGTCTATAAGTCCGGTCCGGAAAAATAGCCAGTGGTAAACAATTCCACAGAAAAGTCGGAAAGGACTAGGACGTCGATGATTCGAGCCGATCTGCGTTGGATGCGGTCAAGGGGAAGGAGCTGGCACTGGGGAGTCCTAACCCAGAGATGGGATCAGTGTTCCAAGTGGGGCTGAACCTGTGCCTTGCCAAGTTGCAGTCAGTGTGCCGGCATGAAATACTGTCCAAGCTTATTAGAAGCCAATTTGGCCTTCTCTTCCAAGTGACCACGAAATTACCCATCACTCGGTATGCAACAAGGGGAGTGACTTGAAACTAAAGAATTACGACAAAGGTGTTCTTTTTAGCGGTGAACGCGCAAACTGGTGCCTTCTGAGGATTAAACTGGACTAGATTTAGTCGCTCCCATCCAAGACTTTGTACAGCAAAGACTCGACTTCAGACACCAGTTTTTTCTGGTACTCGTCGGTGTATAAAGCCTCACCAGTGCTGTCATCTGCATAGCAATGAATGTTACCGGTTGGCAACATATCATTAATATTGTGACGGCTCATAATTATTATTAATAAATAATAATAAAATTCAATATAAAGACATTTCAAAATATCATATAAATTATATTTTAAACAATTAAAATGCATTAATTAGCATTAAGTTCAAATATATTCATTTCGAATATTGAGTATTATTGTATAGTAAACGCATAATACTGTCTATAAAATATCTAAATTTATTAAAACTTTGCTTAAAATATTCAAAATATTAATACAAGTACAAGTATATAACATAAAATGAAATACAATTAATATTAAGTAATGAATGAAGTTACCGAAATAAATTACCTGTTTTTTTTTTATAGGATCGGGTGACAAACGAGCACACAGTCCACCTGATGGTAAGTGGTTACTGTGACCCATAGACAATACATCTCCTCAATAAAGACTCAAGATGCAGATGCGTTGTCACCCGTGAGGACTAAGCTGGAATGCCTCTTTGCCAGTAAAAAGGGTCTCCGGTTCTCTACACTCACCATACGAAACACAGCAGTGTTGAGCTGCTATTTTACGCTGGTTTTCTGTGAGAGCGTGGTCTTTCCCCGGTCGAGC